CAATCGACCTTGCCGACCCCGCACATTCTCCGCTCAGCGCTACGACCTCAAACCCTCACACCCTTATCGACCCCGCGTCCCGCCTCGACTCGGATTCACATGCTTCGAGCAGAGACAAGAATTCGGCACTGTCATCGGACGGTCCGTTCGCTCTTGATCGCCTGCACTCAGCGCATACAGACCTGTCGGAGCTCGCCTAGACCAACATCTTGTACAAAGTGTTCCCTCTTCAACAGCACCGGAGCACTTTCCGCGAAGTAGTAAACACATCTTGAACGCTTCTGGAAGTCGCTGGCGACCCGGTAGCGTGCGTCATTTCCAGCATCTCAAGTCAGACGCAATTACCGGCTTGGCCCGCGGCAAGCCGCGAAGCAGCGCCATCGACGGCTTTAACCACGCATCGTTCCGCCAGTCTAACGCAACCAAAATATACATCACCACTAGCACGTTGAGACCTCGATTCCCCTTGCATCGTGGCCCAAAAGAGTCCCGCTTAATCACCATCCTGTATCTTGCTCAGCAACAACATCCCATGCGCAATCAAAAGATCCAAATGGACTGTGACGTCCTGCGCGTGATGTGTGTCTCTCGAGCTTCGGGGCGGGGCGAAGGTGATGCGAGCTTCTGGCACGTCTTTGCCTTTCCGTTCGCGATTGCCTTTGCGACACAATCTCGCAGTTGGAAAGCTGTCTTAGCGTCGCACGCGACCAGCCTCGAGCGCCACGCGCTCTGTCATACCACAAAGTCCAAAAGAGCGCTCAGCTATCTCCAAGCGCCATTCGAGGAGTAGCGGTATCTGACTGGAACAGCTCTCGAGCGGCTGGATGCGCAACCGCACCGATCGGTGGTTGTACCGTCTAGCTTCGTTGCAGCAGCCTAAAATTGACGAGTATGATATATGGGTTCACGATTCACATTCACATTGGTGATTTGGTGGCGGAGCATGCATGAACGCTAGCTAGCGCACACGCGCGCGCTCCTGCATCATGCGCGCCGACCGCTGCGTTGGATACATCATTTCGCTGGGGCCGCTGAGCCCGAACTGCGATCGACTCTTGATTCTCCCTTCTCCCTTCGTGGGCTCGTGACTGCTGGAAGACAATCTTAGTGGCGAGGCTGCTGCTCACAGAATCAAGTCAAGAGGGCAGCGACCCTGCGACCCTACGACCCTGCCGCCCTGCCGCCCGGATGCCGCGCTGCAGCTGCATGCCTCGCCAACTTCAGCACGTGCGTGGCGGAGGCCGCTCGACCGTCGCGTACTTGACGCCGTACGTAATCAACGTCTTTTTGAGATGGACGAAGCGCTCCTCGCAGACGTTCCAGTCATGTGAAGCTGAGCCTCGGATGAGAGGCGGCAAAGCGGCGTGGTCGCGCAATGCGAGCAAGGCGCAGTAAACATCGGCGACGCTTGCCCGCATCCTGCGAGGTAGGCTCACCGGACACCGAAGTCGAAGGGTCTGATGATAGGCACACACGGTGCCTGGCTCGCATATCGCTGTACCCGCCTCTATCGTGCCTGCTGATCCACCAACACATGGCTCGCCTGTATTGTCCGAGGGCGCCGAGGCCGGGGAGAGCGGCTCGTTCATACGACCATTGTTGCAGCGGCTCGACCGCGATAGGCATGGCCGCTTGTTCGTCGTGCGGGCCTCTGCAAACGATCCTTGCGCACGTACTGGGGCACGCAGTGACTCGCAAATGTGGATGAAGATCGGCAATGTCAAGCTTTGGAGCCTGAACGAACGCTCCCCTTGGCATTTGCATGGCGAACTTGTCCAGATTGTCAGCGGCATAAAGAAACATCTTCAGTGCGCTAAACAAGCGCGAGGCCCGAAGTGCTAAAGCCGCGAGTGATGCGATCGTTTGCTGATGCTGGCAGAAGCGAGATTCAGGATTGTGGATCACCAAGAGAAAAGGCATAGCCAGACATTGTCGAAATTTGGCTCGGTCTGATGAGAGCCCAAGATTGACAGTCGCGAGCACCACCATCACTCTCCTCTCCTCTCTTCACCTCTCCAATATACCCACGACATCTTCCATCTCGCCGTCTCAATCTACTCCGCCGTCCCATTCTCACTGTTTCATCATCAACGTGATCTTGGCGGTCTCGTTCAGAATCTCAGCTCACCTATTTCCGGTCTCACCAAGCGGTCAAAGACATTCAAACTCATCAGCAGCTAGCAGCCAGCAACGCACGCCCACTCGCTCTCTAACAATCCCAAACCCCTCACACGCTCTTCGATCCAGCGTCGAGCTTGACTAATCATTCAAGGTGCGTGTTCAAGTATTCAATCGATGTCAATCGATGTGGTCGGTCCGACGAGAGCGAGGAGATAGGGCAGTGGCGCGTCCTGCCCGTTGCTCAGCGAGCGAGCGTTCGCGTTGCATCGGGTGCCTGCTGCTGATCGAGGAGGGCCGGGCATGTCGCATGACGACTGAAGACGCGCGTGCGGATCCGCACTGATTCACACGCGTCGACAAGTGAGACAAAGCCCTCGAGGGCAAGCAGCAGCAGCAAGCGTAGCGTTGTCTCACATTCACGATTTCGATAAGCGCGATCGAAGAGTTGAGCCGCATGACGGTAGTTATAGTGCATCTGTTTGTCGCGGTGGCCATACAGTAGTAGAATCATTTTGATTGATTGCGGTGCTTCAGCGAGGTCCAGCAGGAACTGTGTTCAGCAAGCTGCTGGTGTGGAACAAGGCTCAGGCAGGTGGCCGACAGCGCAATGGCGCCTGGTCGCTCGCATGCGCATTCGCTTTCGCTTGCCGAGGTGTGGAGAAGCTCGCGTACGCATGAACTCCGATGCAAGAGCGTATGCAGTAA